TTAGCGACGCAGGTTGGTGGCTCCGGCGTGCTGATATGAGGATTGGGGTGGGCCGTGGGTGATTAGATTTATCTAACTTTTTCTTGGTTGTGAAGCAGGCCTTTCAAAAATGGGGCCGGTCCCGACTCTCCATTGCATTTTGTTATCATTTACAATTTACAATTTTTGAAGTTTTGCTTGCTATTTAAGACAAAGATTAAGAGCATCTTCAAAAGAATTTTTTAAATATTAAATGCTTTCTATTTTAAAGAGTCGGTCATTAAAATCATGCTTCAATAGATTTTTTAAATTAATATTTTTAATTTAAATAGTGAGTTTGGCTTTTCAAACTCACTCTCTATAATTAAATGCATTCAAAATGTTTCAATTTAATGTAAAAAAATAATAAAATAATCTAAAGAAAGATAGTTAAAATAAAAGAGAGAGAAAAATAATAAATATTTTTTTTCGGAGTAGTAAAATTAAGTATTAAGTATAACGAGCTTGTTCAAGTACTTCGAAATTTTAACACTCTAAATTTATTGATACTCTTCAAATGATAGAGTGTTGTCTTTGAAAATAGAGTATATTGGAGATGCTCTAAACTTCTCTCTTAATATGGATGGGTTGTTTCATGGAAACTAGTTTAATTTGGGTGTCTAAAAATTTAAGTAATTAGTGAAGATTTATTTGTTTACTTATTTTTTAAAATTAATAAACAAAATGTAGAGAAAAAAATAAGGTTATGATTTCTTAATTAATTGCATTATAAAAATACAAGAAAAAAATAAGTTTTATATCTAGATAGCAGATAAGTAAAAAGATTAATCTACACTTAAAGATAAACAAATAATAGATTTAGCCCATGTTTGGTTTTGATTAAAATCAAATTTTTAGTAGATTTTGATGAAAATTGATGAAATGTATGATTAAAAAATTATGAATCTTATAAAATGTGTAGTTAAAATTAATACCGAGTTTGACTTAAGTCAAACGGGTGCTTAACAATATTTTTAAAAGTCTTTTCATGAGTTGATTTCTTTAAAGGTCTATACTTGGCAAATCACTTAATCTAATATCTTAGACTGTTAAACAATATTAAAATACTTGAATTTAGATATTTTGCTTGCATGTAGATTGTTATAGAACTATTTTATACACTTATCCGTACTTGTAAACGTGGTTATTTACAACTAAATTGAGCGAATATCTACTTAATTTAGTATAATATATTAGTTATAGGTAAATCCCATAATTGAATACAATTGGCGTGACAATGAGTTTTGGTAGCTTAAATGGGAGTTAATTTGATGATTAATCAGATTGCAATTGATCAGTTAGAAGTATCAAGAAGGTAATCAAAGGAGATACACAAGTTTCGGAAGCTAAATCTGATATATGAAAAGTTCGGAGCTCAATTGCAAACTTTTGAAACTTGCATAAGATCAATTAAAGATCAAATTTTGGATTATGAGGACTGCATTAGGATGATTTAAAGATGAATAACTAAAGATGCAATTAAAAAAAAGGCTAAAGTTGAACACATGAGGAATTCAGGGACCAAAGTGCAAGAGGGCAGACATTTGTGCCATGCGATTGCAAGGGCTTAATTGTCAACACCTGCGGCTTAAAAATCGGTGAACCATGCAATCGCAATGGTTCTAATCATGTGATCACATATGATTGTTAGATCACATATGATTGTTAGGCTAGAAGATTTTGTTTCCTAATTTAATTTAACCTCTTCTTGAAATCCAATTTGGGCAAGATTTTGACCTAATATTTGTTCTATAAATATAACTCTTCATCTATAATTAGATGAGGAAAGGTAGGAAACTCTTGTACATTGAAAAACATATAATCAATAGATAGAATAGGTTAATAGAGACAATTTCATATTTCTTGCAAAGCTTTTCAATTAATTTACAACTAATTGATTGGATGCGTGATTTTAATCGACATTCAGGGTAAGAAGTAGGAATTTAGCACAAGTTCTAAATCATTATAAAGTCCGACAGACGTAGGGATAATTGTCTATACATTTCATCATCCAATTGAATTTTTTTTGTGATTTAACGCTTCTACAGAAGTTCGCATTCAAGGTGGATATTACTGGATCATATATGAGGATGTGTTTAACTCTACTTATGAGAGATTATTGAACAACATAGGATCGTTGATTTTCATATTCAAATAAATATTGTCAAATTGATATTAAGATGGAAGAATATATGAAAATTCAGATCCTAGAGCTTTAACAATTACTTGATAAATCATGAACGTTTTCCTACCACTTAATTTATTAGATATGTTAGATGGTTAGTTTAGATTTTAAATATAAAATCATTCAATCTATTGCTTTTATATTCAATTAGAGTTAGGTAAATTAGAAACTAGAATAGGTGCTTAATATTAAAAACTAGATTAGGTACTTAGTTCTCGTGGGATCGATACACTTTATTATTTATTTACGACAATAAAAACAAAAATTAAGGACAACTAACTCATTCAAAAGCTTAAAACATTTAAAATATATATTTATTTAATTGTTGTGTTTAATTTATTTGTATGGAAATAAAGAGATTCTGAATATAAATTTTGTGTCATTTTAATTTTATAAAGTTTGAAAAGAAGTGATTGGGCTTCAATATGCTAAAAAAATAGATAATTTGGAAATGGTCCAAAATCCCTTAAGAATTTTCTTTGGAAAAGATTGATGGTGTACCTAAAAGTTAAAATTATTTCGTGCATTATTGTTCGACTTCTTTATTTCTCAGTATACAGTTTTGATCAATGTTTCACTTTTTTGTAACAAAAATGTTATAATTTTTGTAATAAGCTATACGCTGTAGCACATTGCGTCATGCATGTGTAATAGGTAAAGTTGTGTTACACATATAACACATGATGTTTTACACGTTGAACACACGTGTTATAGTGTAATACATAGCTGCATCATTATCGATGATTTCGCGATCCACCACAACAAATCTGCACCTCCTCCGATTCTTCACGACTCACCACTATAATCTTATCCAATAAATTAGAATTTCAATTGTCAAATTTGTGTAAATCTTTCTATTTATTTATTTATTTTTATTATTTTTTGGGGGGATGAACAAAAAGTGTACTTTGTTGGGGAATTGGGGGGATGAAGGAGATGAAAGAATGAGATTGTTGCACTTAAGTTGTTGAATTGGGTTTTATCCAGTATTTTCAGAATAAATAGGTTTTTTTTCATCCACGGACGGAGTGATTTATGTTAACACTGAAATAGTATTAAGGTTGTTAAGTTACGAGGCTAACAACTTCTCAAGTTACTATGTATCCATTTTAATCGATCGTGTTCATTAAAATAGATTAAAAAAATCATTATAAATTAATAATAATACAAATTATCATATTCTGAAATTCTCCTTATCTATTTCTTTTTTATTTTTTCAAAATTTGTTCGAACTTAAAATCTTAATGAATTGTTAGTTTGAGCGTACAAATCATTCAAATATTGTGCAAGTATTCCAATTTTTACTTGATATTTTTGGCAGGTGGGGGTCTAATTTGAATAGCTGTTATCAAGAAACACGAGTGGCAAGCAAATTAATTGTAGGGGCCCTTGAGTTGACCGTTAGCTCCATTTCCCAATCAAATTAATGCAGTCTTTATCCAACAAGCCAATGAAGAGACACTCTTGCTGTATCATAATGATTGAAAAAACTATGAATGAAATGAAGTAACAAGAAGGAATCGACCCTGCCGATCTTGAAATGTCTAATATTCATTAAAAAATATTCTTCTGATATAGTTCTCTTATAAAGTTTACTTGGATGTTACATTTAAAAATAAAAAATAAAAAAATAAGTGCATTATGTCTAAGTGAAATCAAGAGGTTGAAAGTT